AATTTAAGTGACGCGTTTCCTTCCGAGAAAGGACTTCTTCAGGTTAATTACGCTTTCATTTGTTAAGTTAGTCATATAGATGATTGGGAAAAATTGAGGGAAGGAATACAGCAAATGTCGGTCAGATTTTTACTTCAGAAACTTTAAAGATACAGGGACACTCAGCTTTAAATTTATTTATATTTTGACGTCCAGTGTATCTCGGTGTTTAGCTCCACCGATTTCCTTCAGCTTGTTATTGCTGTTTTTTTTTTTTTTTTTTTTTTTAATGCTATTTCATTATTTAATATACGTTGTTTCTTCAGTCGTTTCTTGAGAGAAGGTGACCGGTGCTATGATCTTGAGTTAAAGATCAAATGCAGTGAAATATGGATCGGAATCCGACAAGATGATAAGATAAAGAACAAATAGCATATTAATTTAAGATGTTTCCCTTTATTAAAGCTTCCAAAAAAATGGGGGTGGAGAGAAGAGAATAAAAGACAAAGAAGGAAGGAGAAGTCTCTGTCAAAACTTTAATAGAAATGAATCATGTCAGATTGAAATACGTTTCCTATTTGTTCTTTATTTTATCATATATATATATATATATATATATATATATATATATATATATATATATGCGAAAAGTGTGTGTATATATATATATATATATATGTATATAATTATCTATATATTATATGTACGGTACTTATTAGAAAGCGCTCAATATCAGAGATAGAGTTAACATATTTGGTTGGATTGATGTGAGTTTGCTTTTTGCGATCGTCAGACAAAAGCGTGAAACGCAGCGTCACAAACTCAGATCAATCCAACCAAATATATATATATATATGAGGGCGAGATTATGGTTGTTCGAATGAAAACGTCTATAGTTTAAAGAGATAATATATATTAAGACATTTTTTATGTTTATACAAATATTTAAGTAAATGCTCTGTTTATAATAAACAGTATTAACAACATTTACCGGCCTGAATGTCCGAGAAATTGTCATAGAAAATATGCGTCCTCCGACAGGAATCGAACCTGTATCCTATACGGAACCGTCATATAGCTTTCAGTTTCATTCATCCCCGATATAGACCGTCTATTCAACCCCGGTCTGTACTGGGGTTGAATATGTCTGACTAATTATATTTTTTCCTTGGTTGAAATAAGTTTATTCCCCAAATGAGGTGATTTGGGATTTTATTGTGTATTAATTTTTGCTCTGTAATAGTGAATACATTGAGCTCTTTTTGTGGATCAGTTTTAATATTTTAATATTATTAGGATCCATTTGGATTATATGCCCACGAATTTATTACCTTTTCAAATTTCACTGTTTCAGTTATAAGTCACAAGACAGGGGTCAAGAGAGGGTGGAAGGAATTTGTCTTGAAGGAAAGAAGTTTTATAAAATTAAGCTCGAATATTAACCTTATGACATAAATTTGGCTTATATGAAGAATGAAATTTTAAATAAAAATTAAAAGAGGAATAAAAAGTGTATAGAATAACTTTAAAATGTCTAGATAAAGGGATGTAATGATCAGTGGAAAGAGATTTGGGGAGATATTAAAGTAGGGAGAATTTATAAATTATAATTAATAGTGTAAAGAGGTTATATATATATATATATATTTGTGTGTGTGTGTTATATTGTTGAAACTTGAATAAAGCATGGAATAATAATAATACAACACAAAATGTACTTAAACAAAATGTATTGACACAAGAACGTGTACACAATATCTACAGATAGTTTGGTATATTCTTGGGAAGACCGTTCCTGTAGAATGGGTTGACTTAGTCGCAGTCGGGCAGCGTCTCTCGATTCGATCTCTTCTTCCTCCCACCGTCTTCCCGGTACCAACCATATTTATATGGTCGGTACTCCACTATGTCAATTAGGTGGATCGTACCACAACATATATATATTTGTAAACAGTGACTATTACGGCTAATAATGCAAGATTCTTCGGTAAAGCGAATTGAGTTCTCTCAATCACTGTGTTTATCTAAAAATAAATACGCTTAAATTCACATTCATTCCTGCCGTGCGCCAACAGCTTAGTGGTAGACGCCAATTCAGTCGGGTTTCGATCCTAGTTAGTGGCAATCGGACGTCTAGCCACACCGGTGAGCTGTGATGAAGCGAAACAGTCTTCCTGTGGATGACTATATCTATCTATCTATCTATCTATCTATCTATCTATCTATATATATATATATATATAATTAATACAAATAAAAAAATTGGGATTTAACTGGTTGATCGTTTGCTTTCCCGGGTTCGAATCTCAAAAGTAAAAATTGTTAAGAAGGCGACAACATTAAGGTTATCGGCCTGTGGGGTCGGGGTTGACTTTAATCTTCATTCTTATTTATGCGCACTCACAATCTATTCCGGATATTGAACACATTTACGCATACATACATGTAACTATATTGTATCGTATATTATAACATATATAAATCACATCATATATAAATATTATAAGAAAAACTTAAATCTATATTTTATTACATATTATAGCATATAAATCACGTCATATATAAATATTATAAGAAAAACTTAAATCTGTATTTTATTATATATTATAACATATATAAATCACATCATATAAATATTATAAGAAAAAAAGTTTCTACTGAATAACACAAAAATTCGTATAACTTTCGCGGATCAGTCGAATAATTACGGCAATATTGTTATTTGGCCAAAAGAAACAAAAATGGAACATTTTAGGACGTATACCGGAAACGTTGCGTCGAGAAAAAAAAAGGAAAAGAAGAAAAGATCAGTGTAAAACATAACAACTCATTGAAATATGGTTGTATCATTTGATAGGGTTGCTCTAGCGAATCAGGTACTCGAAAGCATACCAAGATCGAGGCGAAAATGGTTTCGTTAAAATATCACTCCATTTGTTTTTTGGAAAATCATTTACTCTTTACGATCCATATTAGAGTCTGTAGGGGATTAATGTTCCAAGACGAAGACTAAACATACGCCGAAAAGCATCCACAGTGATATAAAAAGAATAAGATTTGGTTCATAGAATGGCTTCTTCAGTTGCCTGACCAAAATCCAATCAAACATTTGTGGCATTAATTGAAAATTTCTGTCCATAAAGAGAATCCATCAACTCTAAAAGATTTAGAACGATTTTGAAGAGAAGTGCCGAAAATACCATTTGAGGGTTGAGGAAGTCTTATCAAGGCGACAGAAAATGTCTGTTAGTAAAATCAGACCCAAAGACGCCATGACCTTAAGTAGAACGAATAATAACGAGAAAGACATTAGAATAAAATATGGAAAATTCTTGAAATAAAATAATATTAATTATACATTATATATTATAAATTCACGTATTAAACTGTTTTATTAACGCAAAGTTAGGAAATGTCAAATCAAGCAAGAAGAATAAGAATAATAAGCAAATACTTTTGTGTACAACGACATGAGGAGTGCTGACATTTTTCGGCTCAACCAAGAAGCAATTCAAAATAAGTAAGAAACAAACCTGTTAAAATTTGAAAAATGCGTCGGGTCAAAAGATTTTTCAGCACATCCTCATATATATCAATATTATATATATATATATATATATATATATATATATATATATATATATATATATATATATATATATATATATATATATATATATATATGTGTGTGTGTATATTCTTTTTGGCATGTTTTTTCTATTACGTTTTCTTTTTCATCAATATTCAAATGTTTATATATTGCAGGAACATTTTTTACTTTACAACAAATTATGTTTTGGTGTTAAAAGCAGTAAAAAAAAGATTCAAGCTTGTTAGTATTTCTTAAGAAAATAATTTGAGATTAAATGGCATTATCATCTCCTTCAGAAAATGCAATTCTTATGTTATTAATCTCGTCACGCATTACGATCGTAGGAGCACCTGATGTATTGCTGACATAGCTATATTGGTGTGTTAAGTCAAGATAAACTAACAAATCCTCTTCCTGGTTTGATTTCAGAGTTTTCCTTCCCCTAAATTTGTTAATATACTATTTAACCTATAGTTCCAGATAGATTCATACTTATTCCATGGATATTTATAAAAAAAAAAGTGAAGGTAATGTACTTGACCTAAATTCGAACCCGGTTCGACGACATCTTTGGCTAACAATGACACCACCGCACATTTTAAAATCTGCGGGAGTGTAAGCTTTAACCAAAGATTTCATTTTAGTATAATTTCATTTTAAAAATTTTACTCTATATTAATGTTGAAATATGATCCTAAAATCTAACTATGGCACAAAGAAATATTTAAAACCAATTGAACTACATATTTAAAAAAAACAAAAAAAAAAAAAAAATCTAACAGTATGTCTATAGCTGTTTTGTAATGACCATGGTAATATTAAATGTCTTTCCCTATGAGGAAACATTCGGCATTCATTGAATAAGAAGCCAATACTACTTGAGTTACGCTTTTCTTCAATCCGTGGCCATCAAGCTGGGACCAAAGTGTAGTATCTGTTCTTTTAAATCTCTAATGGCATTGATAACATTAGCTGTTTCTTTATCAGAAATATTAGGCATACATTGAATGAATAATCAAATCTACTTTCTATTAAAATTCATAAAATATTATAGGTTTCTCAAGACATGAAACTATTAATTCTCATTCAATTGCTGATGTGAGTTTCCTTCCTAACCTTTTGTTTGAAGTAATGTGGAATATCAACATCTTGAATTAATTGTGCCGTATAGATTTTATTTTATAATCACAAAATATAACCATGGCTCTATGAGATGATTAAAATCGATTTTAACAGTTCCAAATATGGCATTTTCTGATGAAATATCATTGACAAGCTGTTTCTTTTCTATCCAAACTAATCTGAAGTCACATGTAATAATTACAAAATTGACTCTTCGCAATAAGACACATTTGAATATTGATACTTAAAAATAAATGCTATATATTTTGCTATAAATTCTTGTCTTTTTTATTTATTATGCTTACAGTCACGCTTCTAGCTATATAAGCCGCTATCCAGAAGTGCAAGCTCTGATGTCAAGCGAGGCCTCTGGCCATCTCACCTTATTTCTTCCCAACGACGATTCGCTGTCAACCATCCCTGGAAGGATTAAGCAAAAGTTTGCTCTTAACCAGACTTACCTTAATGAGGTACATAACTTATTTGTTTAATTATTGAATTTCACCAGGAAACATTTTATGTACGAGCGTTACCAGAAATGTCGCCGTAAAACACTGCTATCACAGCTACTGGCTGGTGATGAAATATTATCAAAGCAACAGTTCCTCCGCTGAGAGCTATTTGTACATTTACCTTTATATGCCAAAAACAATCACACTCTTTCTTTCTTTCTTTCTTTCTTTCTTTTTCTTTCTTTCTTTCTTTCTCACACACTCTCTCTCTATTTCTCTCTCACTCTCTCTCTCACACACACACACATATACACACATGTACACGCACGCACGCTCGCGCTCACCTTCTGGAAAAGGAGTAGAGGTTTATCTCTTCCTTACTTTTCAGGATTGGAGTCCTTGTTCTTTCTAAGGTCTACTTCAACTCTATATTTCTAACCTCTCCACCTAAAGTCTGTAATTTTATTTATTATTTTTCCTTAATAGGAGTAGATAGGTTTGCCTATTGTCCGGTTCACACTTCTTCCCAGAAACTTTAACAGGAGTAGTGATTTATCCCTTGTTTCCTGCTTAGAGCTGGGTTTCCTATTCCTTTTAAACTTTTCTCATTCTCTTTCACTCCTATTAACCCCTTGCGTCTTAGTGGCATTATTGCCTTGCTTAAGGTGAATTGATTAAAAACACGTGTGTAATAGTTGAAGATATGGCTTAAATATGGGAAAATGATTAAATAACGAATAAGTAGCAAAAAGATTATGAATCTAAAATATTTTGCTATTTATTTATCTTCGACAGGAATCATTGAGAATTAGAACAACGTGGAGATGTTTGAATTTTAAATTGTGTATCATTTTCTTTTCATTGGTTGGCTAGGCAAAATGAACACGTGATGTCTATACAACCAATGAAAAAACAACAAAAGAAAACAGAATTTAAAAATGGAAACAAATCCGCATTATTCATCTTGTAAAAAAAAAAACTGATTAAAATTAATAAATCGTGAAACTTTAAATTTATAAATGCTTGCTTCCTTATTCCATATTTAGTCTCCCACCCACACACACATATGCACACACAGACATGCACTCCAATATACACACGCACTAAACACACACACACACACACACACATATATATATATATATATATTCGCATACTTCCCTTTCTCTCTGTTGTGCGACGATGGCCTAGGAGTAGAATCTCTGTCTGTAATACCAAATAGGTCAGGTTTCGATCCCGGTTTGAAGCAATCGGACGTCTTGCCACACTGAAGATCAGCGGCGAAACTTCCTGTGGATGACTATATATATATATATATATATATATATATATATCGCAAATCTAAGCTACCATAAGCTTCTTATTTTATGAGCTGTGTCCCTTCAGGACGTAGGCAATCATGGCTCTCCACCTCTTTCTGTCCCTTAATAAGTTTTGTCTTTTTTTTATTTCATCCAAACTTTGTTCTACCATCCATTTACTCGAGCCCATCAAGTATTTTACGTGCTGCTTTCCTCTGTACTTCTTTCCCTTAATCTGTCCCTGTGAGTATCAGATTTTCCAAGCCCTCCTTCCTCATTCCATGCCCCAGAAATCTCAATTGCCTCTTCCTGATGTTAAGTTTAAGTTTCCTTTTTGTTTTCATTTTCTCCAAAACCTCGTCGTTGCTCACATGTTCAGTCCATGGTATCCTCAGCATCCTTCTGTAGAACCAGATTTTTGTTGCATCAAGTCTCTTCTTCTTTCAGGAGATTGTCCAGCGTTCGCTGCCGTACAGGAGGGCAGATATATCACATCAAACCCTGAATTAAGTTATTCCCATATGCCAGCTGTGATATAGTTAAATTTTATTTTATTACTGAGGTTTTCATCTTGTTACTTTTTGTTTTTTCGCTGTCGCTGTGTTATAATTGGCTTGCTTTCTGACATTCTTCGAAGAATAAAGAAACAAAAAATATCTTCGTTCTAACGATATTACTTAAATAAAAATATTTAATTTCATTCTATCGCCAGCTTCAAAGAAACTGCAGAGGCTAAGATTGCATGAAAGGAATTTTTTCTCGATATTATTTCAAAATCTAAATAATCATTGGTTTTCACAGTAATATTCTAAATGATTAACAAAATACTTTGATAAAAAAAAACAAAAAGAAAAAACGCCACTGTCTTAAAATCTAGCTAACTTTTTTGAGAAATTAAAAAGAATGCTTAATTTTTTTTTTGCTTGTTCTAAGACAAAATCATTGCAATTATTATTAATATTTTATTGTGTTTTTTTATTTCATTCACCTATTTGTTGATTTTTGTGCGACGTTCAGTTCATTTTTATTCTATGGCGGTTTAACAAGCAACATAGCGCGGAAATAAAAACTTATCTTCGAATGAAATTAGAAATAATATTTTTATTAACGGAATAATGTCTTACCATGACAGTTCAAGATTCTCATTCTAACAATAAATCATTATCTCAACTAGGAATAGTTTTACACTTAGGCATCAACCAGCTGTTGCATCGTTAACAAACCATTGGATGTTTTCAACTGGATTCGATACATGGGAAATGGTTGATTTAGCTATGAAGTCGAAAAATATTGTTTACGTGAAGTTCTCGAGGTAGGGATTCAATTGACCGGAAAAAAAATGATTCTCTTAAAAGTAATAGACATTTCGATGTTTTACACTCAGATCAGATATTTTTTTTACTTCATTTTTCAGAATTATTTCCATTTTTTCAACTTCCGCTAGTTTTATTGTTGAAATATCAAACAGACTATTTCAAAAGGTACAGTTCTGTAGCCATTTTGTTGTTTATCTTTGTCATTTAGTCACACGGTCCAGCGTATTGTTTTATTCTTTTGCATTTCTTTGAGTTACTTTTCTTTTCGCTTGTCGGAATCCCCTGAGTGTTGGCAACTTCCACGATTTGGGTGGACTATCTTCATTTATTTCCGACATTCAAAAGAATTCTTTCACACCGTTTGAGGTGACTGCTTTATATAAGTCAAACGATTTAATCCATTATAGTTGATATTTTGTAAAACCCAAGCTGATAAAATATAATAACGAAGGCGTCTATTGATTTTTATTGTAATCACTGTGCGAGTGTTGAATTAAAAACAAAACTAAACATATCGTAGCAAAATGATAACTAATAGTTTCTTAAATATTCTAAACACAATGGCAGTTTACGCATAAAAATGATGCGTTTATTTACAAATGTATCTAAGCTGTCTTTATAAAACCTGTCTGCTCTACATTGGAAAGTTTCTGTATCTTTTCTCAGTATATTTTTCCTCATTGAAATATATATGATGAGGTATATATATATATATATATATATATATATATATATATATATATATATATATATATATATATACCACATCGTAAGATTATCTGCTGTATGTAAAGCATTAGCATAAAGAAAACTGAAGTTGTGCACCAACCTTGTCCTACTCCGAAGCAATTGCCAGTCTACAAATTTCCAGTGAGACCATTGAAAGTAGAAGACAAACCCCTGAACTATGTAAAGTCTTTCACCTATCTTGGTAGAAAAGTCAACTACAGTGGAACTTTAGATGATGAAATCATGCATCGGATTGCTAAGGCTATCATTGCTTTCGGCAAACTTCGCCATCGCTTGTGGAATGAGTGGGGTATTCGACTGGATACGAAAATTTAGGTTTACAGAGCTGTTGTACTTGCCATCCTTTTGTATGGCTCAGTGTCATGGTCTCCATACAGGTACCAGATACGCCAGCTACATGTTTTACATAAAAGCTGCATGCGTGCAATCTGTGGAGTTAAGCTTCAAGATAGGACATCTAACGGAGACCTGTTTAATAGGTGTAATATTGGAGGAATCGAGACTTTTATCATACAGTCTCAGTTACGTTGGAGTGGTCATGTCTTGAGGATGTCTGATGTCAGGATACTCAAGATCCTAATGAGCAGTTAGATCAGGGCTACAGGAATGTAGGACGCCCATGGCTGAGATACAAAGACAAGCTGAAACGCAACTTGTCAGCAGTCAATATACCACATAACACCCTTGAGCGCTTAGCCTTGGAGTGGGTAGAATGGAGATCAACGTGTTTTAGTGGATTCAGCAATTTTCAATCTGCTTGTCTGAATCATATTCAAGAAGTGAGAACAAGATCTAAAAGGTCAGCCAATCTAACGGTGATCTCATCTCACAATCCTCACACTTGCTCCATATGTGGTCTTCTTTGTAAATCATTAGCGGTTCTTAAATGCCACTTAAGATTATCGCATAAACTTTCAATGAATCAATAAGCAGTCAGGTTCTCATACGTCGAAACCGACGGGTGAGTTTATTATTATTATTATAATCATTATAAATATATATATATATATATATATATATGTTATTATATGAAAAGATTATTTAACTTCTAAATATCAATTTTATCCCAACATTGATGTTTCTTGGTAAAATTTACTGTCTTCAGGGGTTGTGCTTTTAAACGGTATTTCCAATTTTTTTCAATTGAAACAAATTGGAAATTCCGTTGAAAACCACAACTCCTGAAGAATGGGAATTTTGCTAAGAAACAAGAATGTTGAGAAAAATTGATATTTAAAAGTAATTTTTTCATATAATATTATTAACGCTCTATTTTTAATATTATCTTAATATATATATAATATTGAGCACTATATATAAAATGTCTGCTGTTTCTTAATTCTTAAAGATGGTCGTATTTAGTAATTTAATATTCTTATATATATTCGTCCAATATATATATATATATATGTGTGTGTGTGTGTGTGTGTGAGTGTGTGTGTGTGTGTGTATATATATATATATGTTTTGAACAATAAAAATAATAAAATTTTAAATTTTCAGACACAGTGGGTTGTATATTAATATTTTTTGTTTTATTATTTCAGTTAGGTTCCTTGACTAGTTTCGGCCAACATGGCCATCATCAGGAGGAAATAATCCCTGCTTGTTAGTAGCATTGAACTACACGAATGAATGACTGTCTCTGAAAGTTATCTGTAGGTTTCATTCGTTTTCTTATTAATTTTGGTCAGTCCTTGTAATAAACGACATCTTTCACGTAGTTTTTAAGATAGAAGCTGGAAGATTCCTGAGTTTCAGACCTCTCCATGGTCATTTTGACATATTTATTAGTTGCTGAGAAGTGGAAGTGTGTGTTAATGTATGTTATCTTGTAGTTTTTTGAGAGAGAGTATGATCTCTGTATCATACAAATCCCTGATTTTAAACTTTCGATTAGTACGAGTGCGTGTATAATTGTGAGACTTCAACACCATGTCTATCATGCGTGGGGAAGAAATGTGGGTAGGGTTTGATTTATGGGGTTATATATTAATTTTATCTATGTTGTTAAATTTGTGGTTAAGCCCGTCTGGACGTAATGTTTTGAGGCGCAAAAATCCATTTGTTTTCATATATATATATATATATATATATATATATATATATATATATATATATATATATATATATATCACACGTAATGCATATAATATTCGTATATTATATATGCTCCAAAGTTTGTCATAGCTGGGGTTGATAATGGAGTAAACCTCCCACTGTCTATAAAATGCTTCGGTGGCGTATGCGTCTCAAATAACCTCTGACAAATAAGCCCAGCTCCAAATTGAGAATTGACGAGGCGTCAAACTGGCGCCTTTATAATCAACTGCTTCGGGCAGATGGGCCTCTACAGCCTTGGTAGGCAGGCCATCCAGGTGAAGTAGAAACCCTGATTTTAAACTTTCGATTCTGATCAAACAGGGCGTTACTTTTTTCTCAAGAGATAAACTGATGCCTAACTATATATATATATATATATATATATATATATATATATATATATATATATACGAGGCTAACATCCCGCTCTCACCCTTTTCACTGTAGAAACTTTTAAATGTAGCTGTCTCTTCTACTCCAATAGCTTCATATCTCGTACCTCTCGCCTGTGGAACACCCTTACCTATTACTGTTTCCCTGAGAGCTATAATCTCCAACTATTCAAATATAATGTCACTCGACATCTCCAGTTACCTTGATCTATCCACTATCCCTCTTCTCATCCTTTCTTCTATCACTCCTATTTGCTCTCGCTCCAAATCTTCCTCAAACCCCTGCATCCTAGTGGCTTCCCGCCCTGCTCGGGGCGTAATGCTTAAAAAAATAAAAAAATAAATGTTTAAAAAGGAGTTCGTTAAAAAATCTGCTTAGGATTGTATGTGTAATAATCCATGAAACTTTGAGTTAAATAAGATAAGTGAGCCATTTTATTTTATTACTAATGATTATATAAACCTCTCGTTGGTTGGGGAGGTAGCTATTTTTCTTACTATCGTCAGTGATCGTTAATTTTGCCTTGATAAGAAACCATGATGTTGCTTTTTGAACAGGTCCTATAATCTTAGCAACGCAACCTCCTCATTCTATTAGCTCTCTTTAGGCCTTGTACCAAGACTAAGCTAGATGAAAATGTGTAAGAAATCAGACAGGAAATGTTCAACGCTTAAAGTCTCAAAAATTACAAGATGGCGGACGTTTAATGAATTATACAGCGAGTAAATGAAAATACGGTGCAAATTAAATTTTCAACATTTGATTCGCCGTGTTCTAGCGTGTATATCTTACAAATTATTCCTAGCGTACCACATAGCCCAAATATATGGTTTATATATATTGCGTTTACTATATATTTAGAGATACTGGATAAAAATAAATAAAAGTATCTGCAATATTATTGGTCCTGACCTGGCATATCGGCATCACTCCCTTTCCTACTGCCGAAACGTAGCTTCACTGCTTCATTTCTATAAATACTTTCATGGTACTTGTTCTGAGAAACTTTTCTTTTTGGCACCTAGACTTCATGAATTTAAGCGCAGTACTAGATTGGAAGCTAGGTCTCATCATTTTACAGTTGAATGTATAGCCGAAAGCACTCGTAAAAATATAACATTCGGATAGTTTTTTTTTATATAATTTATCAACTGAAAAGAAAAATATAAGATCATATAAGAAATTATATAAAAAATCTAAATCAAAGCACCTTCTCTTTCATATTTAATCAAGCTAGCGCACACACACACACACACACACACACACATATATATATATATATATATATATATATAGTCTTAAGATGTGCTATATTTATGGGATAAAGTGCTCAATATCAGATATAGAGCGTGTGTAAATATACTGATCCGTATATATATAAATAGCCAAGAAAAAATAACAGCACTCGTGGCCTGACGATTGCATCTAGCTTGAAACAGACTGTCGTCTCTAAGTGTTGACTTCTATGTTCACTTTTATATATATATATATATATATATATATATATATATATATATATATCTGTGTGTCTGTGTGTATATATATATATATCTGTGTATATATATATCTGTGTGTGTGTATATATATATGTGTGTGTATATATATATATATATATATATATATATATATATATATATATGTGTGTGTATGTGTGTGTGTGAGAGAGTGAGTGCACATTGCGTTACTTTTCATGAGGCGTTAAAAGATTTTTTGATTTAAACTTATCAAGTGTATCACATAACTTACAACTTAATCTCTGAAATTTAACTCCAGTTGGAACCGTCTTGGTGAAGTTCGTTAACACACGATCTTTTATGAGAAGAAAAGACATTTGATTCGCCGTGTTCTAGCGTGTATATCTTACAAATTATTCCTAGCGTACCACATAGCCCAAATATATGGTTTATATTTGGGATATATATATCAAAACCCCGAATTCACATCCTGTTGGAGGACCCCCCTCCTTATTGACTATGATGCACACACCACGTTTGGCCAATTGCGTGTCGGTGAGGCTATTTAATTCATTGTTGAATACTTTGAATTCATAGTTGTCCTTCTCCTAGACAGGTTGCCACCCTGATATTTGCCCATAGCTTGGCGGGGGTGAGAAAAGATGGATTCATGTATTTTCAAAGGATATTTGCGTAAATGTAAGGAACCCGACCTGAATTCGAACTCGGATCTCCGATTCACCTGTCCGTGCCGCTATCCACTGTGCTCCCAAGAGCACCGAAGGCAAAAATAATTTGGTATTTTAAAAGATCCTGTAGCGCAAATAAAATTAATCTAATTGTACCGGGCCATCGAATTTGATATCGAAAAGCAGGACAAAGAAGCCTGAACTCCCATATTGATTCTGTTATCAAAAGTAAATTTATTTTTGACGTCTCCACAAAGACACGCCTCTCCTATGTTATTTGTGAAGACGTGTAGCGACCAAAACCAAATATGGTGATATTTCCGTGAATAAACGCTAATAGTAACATCGGACCTCATTAAACGACCCTTGGAACCTTTAAATTGGTTTATTTGGCAAAGGGCCAGCGGTCGGATGCTGACCTTCATTTAATTATCTTTTAACAGCTTTTCTAAGTCCCGCATACAAAGGCGTTTCTTTACAGGACGCCTCTATAAAATGTAAACTAGTTTTAGCGATGCAAAAATCAACGATTCGTGTCGAAGATGGATGAAGAAAAGTTCTGCTTGTAAATTAAAAAATAATTAAAATAAATATAAATAAAATTTAAATGCATTGCAGGGAAGATTAAGTAGCCGATTTTTAAAGAAAACATTTTTTAAATTAAGTAAAAATAGCTAAAATATTTAAAAAAAAATGTAAATTAAACGATTAGGAGAGAAAATAATACATTCAGGGGTTTGATTAATTGTAGAGGTAGCTATTTTTTCTCTTCATGCCACTGACCGTTAAACTGAGTCTGGGTAAGAAGCGATGACGTTGATTTTAATGGTTGGCCCTGTTCTTTTCGAAAATTAGCGCAACGCAACCACCTCCTTTTATTAACTCTCATTAGGCTTTCTACGAAGACTAAGCTAATCACACTAGATATTTATAGAAAACTATTTGAGGTTCTCGTTCAGTTTACCGATAATTCTGCAGTCATCACAGTCAAGGCAACTGTCTCTTATGCACAATCCGTTTAAAGTTTATTTTACGGGAAGAACATATTTGTCAATGAAAAAAGAAAGCAAAGAAAATTGAATGAATAAAAGAAAATTGTTTTAAAAGAATAAATGACTGAAAAACTTAACAATAAGAAGTAATACAAAAATAAAAATAAGAAAAACGAATTGAAATTAAAAATAGAATGGAAAGAAAAAGAGGAATGAAACAAGAATACAAGAATATGAGTATGATAGAATGGAAATTTGAGCGAAACAATAAAAGAATGATAGAATGAAAACTTGAACGAAAGAATAAAGTGATGATAGAATGAAAAAGGAGCGAAAGAATAAAAAAATGAAAATCTGAACGAAAGAATAAAGTGATGAGAGAATGAAAGCCTGAACAAAAGAATAGAGGAATGAAAAAAAAATTGAGCAAAAGAATAAAAGAATGATAGAATGAAAATTTGATGAAAGAATAAAAGAATGAAAATCTGAACTCAAGAATAAAGTGATGAGAGAATGAAAATTTGAGCAAAAGAATAAAAGAAATAAAGAAGTGAACTAAAAGATTTGGATAAAAAAGATCCTTCGGGGGTCTGGTTTGGTTGGAAAGTTAGACATTCTTGTTATCGGCGCCAATATTCGCTATTATAGCCTTCATAAGGATCCATGATGGTAATTTTATTGTGAGGTACTGTTCTCTTCGAAAATTAGCGCAACGCAACCACCTCATTGTATCAGCTCCTCATTAGGCTTTGTACCCAGACTAAAGTAAATCATACGAGATATTTATAGAAAATTGTTCGAAATTCTCCTTCATCATGATAGTTGGATCAAATGCGAATAAAAATTGGTTTCTTTTTTAAGCAAATTTCATTTATAGATGAAATGGTTATTTTTAAAAAAAAATAATCAATTATTTGAGTTAATTAGATATTTACATTAATTTAGGCCCATTATCTATTAACTGTTATCCTCATACTTGTTGTTATCACAGTGTTTCATTTGCTGTTTTCTCCAGCCTTCATCAGGGTCTTGTCGTTCTGAGTAACCTTCGTGGAATTCCAAACTGAAGCCTTGATTTAATCTATGGGAGCAGACGACACTCGTTCCGTTCAATATGTCTACGGATATCTCGTCTAGTTCTTATTTTTATGACTACTTCCAGTTATTCCTCTGTTTCCCCTAAGTCTGTACTACCTAGCCCAGGGAATGAATTCACAATTACTCTGTCACCAAATTCACAAACCATGGCTTTAATCTACTATGATTCTTGAAAGTTCTATCCCTGCTTCGAGTAGTGCAGACTTAAACTCACTGATAACAAAGCGTGCAAAAATCGAGAACTACTAAGGACTAGACTACATATGCCTCTATATGACCAGTAGATTATATATATGGTCACTCGTATTCGAAGATATCCGTCTACTAAGGTGGCTAGCCAATCCCTGTTGCAGACGCTTGCTCAGGCATATTTTGTGTTTCTTCAATGCCCACAGAGCCAACCTGTGGTTTATACTGCAACTATACTGAGCAGACTTTAGTTACAGTTTCTGGGAAAGAGCGTGTTATCTAACGTGATCAACAATTTGAACAAGGCCAGCACTCTCAAGCCTTCGGCCACGATGACTTGTGACTTCGTGCTAGCAGAGCTATCGAGGGCCCTCGAGGTTTTCGTCTACCCAATTTCACTCACAATGCCTGGATCAAACCTGGGTATGGTTTTGAGGCACTTTCCAAAGGCGCCACACGCTAGGATTGACCCCTTCAATCCGATAACATCAGGAAGTCTTCTTCCTGTCAAATCGACCATGGTGAGATTCCAACCCGGGTCTCATAATCAGAATGCGAACGTTGTAACCACTACTGGTTTATATACTCCCTTTATAAGCCAGTAGATTAAATAAAGGGATTCATGTTCGAAATTCACTGATGATTACACGGACCAACAACCACGTGATGAAGCCCGGTGAACACAACGGCCGAAACGTTGATAAAGATAACAGTATTTAATAAGGACAACTCATCCTCCCCACCCTGCCAAATTTGAGATAGTAATGTAGATATTGAATGCAATGTGTACCGCGGGAAATCGGAAAGATCTGAATGCTGTTCTAACGTTTCCCTTCAACTGCAATCGTAAGTCTAGATCCTTGGGCAACTGCAAAAATAATGCTAACTGGAAATCAATATAAAAGGCAAGTAACTTTGATTGTTATGGTCCTAATAGCCGTTTGTCAAATACAAGTAAAAATAAGATATTTCTTTTCTCTAATAATAATCTGATTATTGGAGTTCTCTTCTTAAAATATACTCCACTTCAATCCATACTATAGTTTTGCAGTCAATACACTCCTCAACATAATTTAATTAAAAGATATTTTATTGTTCCATCCGGTGACGGTTTAGATATTTTTTAATGAAAAACAATGTCTTTAATGGTAACCAATAGCAACAAAATAGCAACAAAAAGGACACTCAAACTTAACATCAGGAATAGGCTGTTGAAATTTCTAGGGCATATAATGAGGAAAGAGTGTTTAGAAAATTTGACACTCACAGGGTATATTGAAGTCAAAAGAAGAACAGCGTATAAGATAGGAAAAAGACAATTTATTAAGAGTTACAAAGGAGAAGAAACTGTGGAGAGACAGTCAATGTCCTGAAGTGACGCGGCACATAGAATGAGAAGCTTCAAACTATCATTGAAGCAAAAGGTTACCCATTCAGTACTTGCCTGAAAATAGTATTTCTTAACTTCAGTGTTTGGGTAATAAGTGACAGGATTTGAGCTTTTGATCTACATAGATGTGCTGAAAAGGAAGAGAGTTATAAAATTCGGATTGTTTGGTCTTGCGCACGAATTCTGGCAGATGGCTACACGAACCGAGGAGTTTTCTGCACCCACCTCATGATGATGATGACGATAAGAAAAAATGTTTCGAGTTTTGCTTATGATATCTTGTTATGTCTCGTCGTAGGCTTAAGAAAAAAACAAAAAACAAAAACAAAAAAAAAATAACAAAACATGATCATTTTTTTTAATGCCACAATCAATCGAAACTTTTAGACTGATGGCTGACCCGGGCCTCGAGGGAACTACCATAAAAGCAATAAAAGAAATCAACAAAGATCGATAAAGACGAAAAAAATCACAAAGGTTCGACAAAATAAATAAGAAATAAAATAAAATAAAAATTAATAAGAGTTATGGAAACGAAAAACTTAATTGATTTAGAAAGAGATCAAGAAAAAGAAACAGACGAGAAAGTGCAAGGGGGAAATAAAAGATAAAAAGAAAGAACAAGAGTGAGATAGAGAGGGAAAGAAGAAATAGAGATTGATAGAAAACCCAAGAGAGAGAGAGAGAGAGAGAGAGAGAGAGAGAGAGAGAGAAGGGGAGAGAAAGTTATTCATGGGTAGGGTACAGTATGTTCATTACAATTTCAGGTAAGAAATGGAGCCCACTCGCTAAGTTGCAACGGAATAAACCATTTTAACCAAGTTACATGTAATCGATTTGATTGTAAACGAATTGATACGCCCCACGCTTGCTCCATCGATAGATCAATGGCTGTCGGATTTACTCAGCTGATTCATATATCACATTGTCACTCTAATCAAATAATAAGGATCTCGTACACACGGGCTGAAACCTGACCTGGACTTGACATTGATGAACAAGTCGTTTTTAACGGATCTTCAACTTCCTCGTTACTTATTCAATTCCAAAGATAAAACCCAAATACTCTCGGTAATACAGCTGTAGATTCAGTAATACTGACTGCAGTTTCTATCCCAACCTTCGCAACTAACGATATATCACTCTCTCTCTCTCTCTCTCACTCTCTCTGTATATATATATATATATATATATATATATATATATATATATATATAAAAAAAAAACAAACCACTTTAAGGAACGATTATGATAATTTATTTCACAGAGCCATTTTGATGCCGGATCATCAGATAGCACTTCCCAAAATGAAATGAAACGAAAAATGAAATTAAAATTTTAATTTCATTTTTCATTTTCATTTTTGGGAGTGATATCTGATGATCCGGCTTCCTTTAAAATGTCCCTGGTGAAATACATTATTATAATGGTACCTTAAAGTGGTCTGTTTTTCTTTTAAATATTAGCTCTGGATTTACATTGAGCTCTCAGGATTTCATCCTCCTTAGGATTACCCATACGGATTACCAAGTTCTTCATAACTTATATATATATATATATATATATATATATATATATATATATATATATATATAGTTAAATATAATAGACAATGAATGTCTATTATGTCTGATCATGAGCCGTTCTAATGTTCATATATTTGCTTTAATTTCTGGTGAAAATAAAAACAAAAATTGTCCAACATTTGCATATTTCATATATATATATATACTCTGTATTGACGTATTGACCACTCTTTTAAGAATAGTCATTGTTGGTTATTGGAATTCATTCCGTATATACCATTTATATATATATATATATATATATATATATATATATATATATATATATATATATATATATATATATATATATATATCTTATAAATAAAAGTAATTATACTCGTCTGGAAAAACCTTAGGTGTTTTGGCTTGTATCTGAACAAACCAATGCCCAAGGAAAAAAAGGGAAAAAAAGAAAGAACTAAGAACATGAAATTGAGGCGACAACAATCGTTCAGAATCCAAACTCAGAGACCAAAGAAAGAAGACCTCCAACACTAAGTAGAGCAAATCTAACTATCTAACGCTGACGATCCGGTAGATATTTGCCTGGCTCTTTAGGTTCATAGTTTTATATATATATATATATATATATATATATATATATATATATATAATGCGTGAGTCTGTTTATCTTGCTTTCTAGACAGTATTAGTTAGCTTTTCATCAAAAATATTTTTTAAAAATATATTATTTTTGAGAACTCACAACACTATAAGATGTTTATGTTCTTGTAAAATCTATTTTCTCTGATATGAACATGAAACATTGCAAAGGCCTTTCGGGGCGCTGTAAATGTCTGTAAAATCTCATCTTTACAATCTGAAATGTGTAGCAGTGTTGAGAAAATACTGGCACTAAGAAATCAATGTTTTTTTGTTTTTTGTTGCGGTATGAATTTACGGATTCTTTAGGGCCAAGGAGCTGGTATGAATCTCCGATGAATTTCGACTATCTCGCACTAACCGGCCACAGAATTTATTGCGGTCGGCACGGAACGTCTTTGCAACAGTCTCCCTGACAGAAGAATCGATTAAAAAGTTGGAATTTTCCGAGCCACTCACAAGAGAGGAATGTCCTCTTCAGTGCCGGAGATATCTCTTGCTAGCTAAACGTGATAATGTCAATAATAGATCAGAAATGAGAAAAAAGGATGCGCGCAGAGGATCAATCAGGGGACTGTCGCCGGCTGACTTACACTCGACTGAAGACAGAGACGGTGTTGTGTGTGATGACTAGAAATGGGGAAAGCAGAGTTAGGAGGAGAGAGGAACGGAAGTCTGGCTACTTGGGGAGGAGCAGAAGATAGAATTATGATTTTCTGATTCAGAGAGAGAGTGAGAGTGAAAGAGAGTGAAAGAGTGAGATAGATAGAGAGAGAGAGAGAGAAGTTGATACTTTTTGCTTGTGTGCATTGTCTTCGTTTTTCTGCCATTGTCAGTGTCCTCTTCACAAGACGCGATTTGTAACACCCTGTCCTGCTTGTTGGCCCCACACTGTCGGCACCCGTCGTCTTCCCATGTTGATTATTTCGTGACATTGATGCGTATTTTGTTATTCAATGGCACAGATGACAGCAGTTTTTCATTGCATTCGTCAGCCAGAAGTGGCCCGAGGAAAAGGTCGGTTTTGATGACATTTTATGAGGGCTAATGATGATATTGTTATTTTTATTATCAGATGTCGGGCGGGGGGTACTTAATAATCCGAAAAACCATATTAATAAACCCAATTCCGATTTCTGTGAATATTCACATCTTCCTCATTAATTTTTATTATTTATTTCATCTTAATTTCAGTTTCCTTTCATTGCAACTACTCAGACCGTTACTTTATTTCTATCAGCAAACATCAATCGGTGAGACTCATAATCGCACCTGTTTTGCCTCGAAAAGCCCATTTTACCGTGACAGCTACTCTACCATTTAAGCTACACGAAACTTACGTTTAGCGAAAGATCAGATAAACGCAAGATATATCGTTAAAATATCGAGTCAAATGGATTTTTTTTTAAGCGTTTCACCCCAAGCAAGGCGGGAAGCCACTAGGACGCAAGGGGTTACAGAAAATTTGGAGCAAGATCAGATAGGAGTGATAGAAGAAAGGATAAGGAGAAGGGTAGTGGATAGATCAAGGCAACTGGAGATGTCGATTGACATTACATTTGAACAACTGGAGATTATAGCTCTCAGGAAAACTGGAATAGGGAAGGGAGTTCCACAGACGAAAGGTGCGAGACATGAAGCTATTGGAGTAGAAGAGACAGCTACATTTAGGAGTTTCGACAGTGAAAGGGTGAGAGCGGGATGCCAGCCTCGTAGGGCGCTTGAACTCATGAAGTCTGGGAACCAGTGAATGCAGCTCCTCGGAGCAATTGCCATGAAAGTATTTGTAAAACAGGCAGAGAGAGGCGACGGCGCGTCTGTGAGAGAGCGACTGTAGACGAGATGCCATAAGTTTTCATAAATTTCAAGAACAAATCTATTTCCATACCTAAGGATGTCTGTAGGAACAGACGAAAGCTTGGAATTTATAAACAGGGATCATATCATTCATATACAGGTTCGGGGTTAGTGTAACTTATTGAAATTGTTTGCGAAGATGTATTCTCGCCATTTAAATCATTAACCTCTATATTTGTTTTTTGTATGAATGATTCATGTAATATATATATATATATTAATTTTCAATTTTCTTTTAAATTTCAGTTCGATATTTCTGGAAAAAAATTGGAATGCATAGTAATATCCTTAAAGCATTAGAATTATTTCAATTTATTTTATCTATCTATTTTATAATTTATGAAAAGTAACGATTTTATATCCGTGCTGAAGTTTGGCCTATGATAAGATAAAAAAAAACAATTGGTTCACTTATTTATTTATTTTTCACTAATATTTCACAGACATGAAAAATCAAACAACTGACGCCAAAGTAGGGTAGGTAGATGGGCCAGGGAACCCTTTCTCAGGGCAGATGAGGTTACTTACAACTGCTTCACATTACATAGGAATCTTCCCAGTGTTTTCTGAAATTTTCCATTAATGGCAAGTCATGTAAACACCTGAAAATCTTTCGGATTTCGGGGGTTTTGGGATTTGGGAATTTCGGATAAAAGATACACAACATGTATTGTTATTATTGTTGTTATTATTATTATTATTATTAGTGTATGTTAAGTTTCCTGCTTTGTATCTTGTAGAGTCGGGTCCAAACTACACTCCTATAGAATTGTCATTTAATTGATAGCACTTTTCTTAGTATATAGAATGTTCTTAATACAGAGATTTTCTGGTATGTTGATATTACATAGAACACTCTTAGTAAAATTGTCCAATCCTTTTCTCACGAGGCCCGGAGATCCGATTATTATTGCTTCAGTCTCAGTCTTCATTCATCATATCCTGTTAATCTCGATCTCCAGATCTTTGTATTTGGACAATTTGTCAATAATTTTTATGGAGGTTTTTCTCTCAGATGGTACGGCTATGTCAATAAGCAAACACTTCCTGAATTATTTGTCTTTTATTATAATATCAGGTCTGTTGGCTTTTATTTCCCTCACAGTTTGAATTGCCATGTCCGAGATGATAGTTAAATTGTTATTTTGGGGAACTGTGTCTGGTTGGTGCTCATACCATTTCTCAGTGGTTTCGATTTTGTGTTTTTTGAAAATCTTCCAGTGCACATATGTCGCTACCTTATTATGTCTGTGGGTATATTGATTTTTTTTGCCAGTCCCGGGCATCTTGAGATAATATGGTCGAAAATTTCATAATATTTTCCGCATATCCTTCATTTCAGGTTAGTTGCATTCTTGATTATGTAACAGTGATAGGATCTGGTTGCGAGGCTTTTGTCCTGAGCTGTAATCATTAGGCCTTCTGTCTCAGCTTTCAATCCGGCGTTCCTCACCCACTGATGTGTTTTCTGTTGGTCCGCATCTGCTTCTTTCGTTCTTTTTATGTATTTGCCACGCACCGCCTTGCCCTCTCAGATTGTTTTTTTTTTTTTTTTGTAATTTCATTTGGCCAAGTCGTTTTGCTTTTTGTTTTACTTGTTTGGCGTAGATGGTATTCGCTTCGTTTTTTGTTGGTACATTAAGCTGTTTCTTGAGGAGTTCAGCTTCTTTGGTTTTTTACTATTTGTAGGAGAGGCTCATTGGTTT